GTTAGTGGTCAAGGCCAATCTTTCAACTTGGCCAGGAATGTACCAAATACATAACCTCTTGCGTGACAGCCGTTCAACGGATCACATTACATTTGTTGTCATTTTAGCCCAAGAAAGAAACTAAGAGGACTTAAACCACAAGGGTAAAGTTTAAAGATAATATATATTTTGATTTGAAAATATATCATACAAGACCTTATTAAAGGCATTTAAATGGGTCGTGACGGCTGTTCAGCGGTTCGCATTGCATTTTCGACAAAATAGCCCAAACTCTTGTAAACCTGGAAGTGCCGCTTATAGCGGGCCAAGATAGAAAATTGGAGGGATTAAAATACAAGGATAAAGCTTTACGATGATGTACATCATGATTTGTAATTATAAATGGCAGACCTGTTCATAGGCCATTGAAGTTGACCTTTATTTTACCTCCGCGAAAGAGACGAGTACTTTGTTTTAACGGGTTACTATCCAGACTTAAACGTAACAAAATAATAAGAAGATAATATTTTCTAAGAGATAAAAAGACCATATGTTAGTACAAAAAATTTAGAAGCGGGATTCCATCGCGTTGTAGCGTACGAAATTGCCAAAGTTGCATAACTTTTCATAGCTTTACGGGGAGTGACAACGGCCATTTAGGCGTATTTCGAACGTTTCGATTTTTCGGAGAAAAAAAGGCGCGACAGAACTTTTTGATATAATTTTCGAAAAGGGTTCATTAAAAGCGTCCTTTTGAAAAAATAAAACGAATTACGAAATTTTGCAACTGTCGGAGGATTCTCGATATTTACGGTCAGTAGCTCTTAAGAGAAACATGTCAAACATGGCGACTGTTTTTCTTGCTGTGCACAGTGGGAGTGCTAAGCCTCACGGGAGTTACAGGCGATGATGTTTAAGTTTTCGATCGGAGGTAACGACACCTGCTAAGCAAGTGCCGGTCAACTGAGGCCGCTACGATTTGACCGTAATTGATTGTAGTTGAAAATGAACGTCCACAGGCGTTCTCAAGCTCACAATACGAAATGTCTAGTTGTTTTATTGCGAGCGGACGTGACCGTGACCGGAAAGTGGTGTTGTGTTACAATGCAAGTGGCGTATTGTGACAGTGCTGCGAAAAGCGGTGTTACATTATAGCGTCGACCGTAATGGCGTTCTATCAAAACGTTCGTTAATAATCTTTAATAATTGCTCCTAAAAAGGCTTTTCGGCAACTATTGACAATAATGGGTCAGCAATTTACAATAATGTTTAAATAAATTAAAAAAAAACTATGTACAATGTGCAAGGCTACACATTTGTTTCATATGGCATAGTTATGTATAGTTTTCAAAATAATAAAGTATGTGAACTTATCTCGTCTGTTTTCTGTAGTTTTTTATGCCTGTTTAGGCGTAACAACCACACCTTTAGTGTGGCGTGCTGGGGACGCCTGTGGAATATCTTATACGAAAAAGAACCATTGCAACTTTACTTCACTGAGCTGCGAAAAAAGGCAGTGGTATTTCTATGCCAAAACTTGATCATGAGATGTTACGTGACTATTTTGGCGTGAAATTTATGGCGATCCGATTTTTTTCGGATCCGGTACTGGTTTTGTCAATCGAACGCAATCCGATCCAGGTTTTGTCAATCCGGTCCGGTTCGGTCCAGGTTTTGTCAATCCGATCTGACCCGTTTCGGTCCTAGTTTTGTAAACGCCCTACTCTGACTTGATTTACGTTCCATCACTTCATTGAAACACGACTCGCAATATGCCACAGATTTTCCTACTTTCCACCCAGAAGTTCCCTCTTCGCTTTCAAAAACCGAACACCTCATAAAAACGTAACTACCGCACGTCAAACAACTATATATAGTCTTTGGAAAGCAAGAACTACAAATTCCTTCGTCTCCCACCATTTTTTGTGCTGTTTTAGCTTTTTCGCGCATGGCATTCACAGAATTCCTGGCGAGTTGTGGGTAATTAATGAATCATAATAATTTCCTATAATTCATGCATTATGTAAGTTCGGCTCGTGTCAGGTGCGACGTTTGAATCAAAAGTCGAACCTATGTCGAATCTTCGACTGTTTCAGTCGCAGATGCGGCGAAAGTTGTTATGTTCGGTACACGAATTCTCAAATACTACACAGATCGGTGAGAACACAAGCTTTTAATAAATCCTCTTGGGTTCTTCTCTGCCGCTTGTCGGTCAGCGGCCTTTACAGGACTTCATGTTACTATATCTCCTTTCCTTTTAAACACGAATACACATAAACAGTCCTAAGAGTTCTTAAGAACAGTTTCTAGCATTCTTCGACGTATCCCTGTGGTCTTTTAATAACTCCTCTAGGCCTGAGACGATTCGACCACGCTTTCGTCTGTGAAGACTTGTACTCTGCTGTCTGGTTCCTAGGCGGGGTAGGCAAATGTCGGGATGCTTCTCTGATCGCATCGGGTATGTCAGGAAAGTCTGGTACTGGGCTGTCTTGAATCGCAGCAAAGTTGGTAGGAAGGTCTGTTACTGGGCCATGTCTCATAAATGGTTCAGGGCTGTCACGGCTTGTAAGGGTAAACTAGGAACGAGGACTACCCTTGGGAGCTCTTCGAGTCATTCTCCTGTTTCTTCGCACTTTGCCATTTGGGGTCTGAATAACTACAGATCTTGGACGTTCATGTGGCTTGATCACAGTTCCCTCAACTTTCATGTCTGGGATCCACACGCGATCACCAGGTGACAGTTCCTCTCCTTCAACGACTCTATGTCTGTGGTCGTAGTCGGAATTCATTTTGGTTTGGTATTCTCTCTCTTTCTTCTTGACCTGGTCATAGTCAGGGGTCTTGGGCAGCAGCTCATCTTGTGCGTAACTTTCGGCCCATGCTGAGTTGGGCTGGTGAGTAGCCATTTTGTAATGGCTATCTCTGTAAGTCAGTAGAGCTAAGTATTCGTCGCTACTCTTATTCATGATCATCTTCATGGTTTGCACGGCACGTTCGACCTCTCCATTAGACTGGAGATATTTTGGAGAAGAAGTGATGTGCTCAAAGTGCCAGTCATTAGAGAAGGTTGTAAACTCGCGTGAATCGAACTGAGGACCATTATCAGTGAAGAGGATCTAGGGAATCCCGTGTCTGCTGAAGATCTTTTTTAATTGTAAGATGGTCTGGCAAGTGTTCACGCTTTTGGACACCAAGCAAACCTCTACATCTCTAGAGAAATAATCTACGGCAATGAGATAGGTCTTGTCCTTATGCTGGAAGAAGTCCACGCCAACTCTACTCCATGGTCGATTAGAAAACGGAGGGCCTTTCATTGGCTCTATTCGTTCCCTCCGGTACTTCTCGCAAAAAGCACAGCTGCTCACAACCTTGCATATGTCGTTAGAGATCCCCGGCCACCAGACTGACGAGGCAGCATTTGTGCGCGTCTTGGTTATGCCTTGGTGTCCATCATGTAGGCGTCTCAGTACATCTGGCCTTAGTTTAGGGGGAATAATTAGTCCACGCCCTCTCATAAGTAACCCATTATGGAGGGAAACAATACCGCGTTCACTCCAATACTTTGCCACAGGCCCAAAAACGCGGCGTTTCTCGTCTGGCCACCCATTCTGTACATACTGCAGCACAAGTTTGAGGGTATCGTCACTGTTCAGTTCACGGCGGATCTCATCCAGTCGCTGATCCGATGCCGGTAACGTGACAAGTACTGCATTCACGTAGCACTCTACTTCATCGCGTAAGTCATTCCATGACTTGGATGCATGGGCTTTGTCGTCCTGAGGAGATCTGGACAGTGAGTCGGCTGTATACAGGGACTTACCAGGAACGTGTTCGATCGTAAAATCGAATCTCAGGAGTCTCATTCGAAAACGTTGAATGCGCACTGCGAGCTCATCGATGAGCTTGGTGGAAAACAGTTGAATTAATGGCTTGTGATCAGTTTGTACTTTAAACTTCATTCCGACCAAAAAGTCTGCCCAGTGTTCTAGTGCCCACGTGATAGCCAAAGCCTCTTTTTCGGTTTGGGCATAGCGACATTCAGTTACGGTCATGGACCTACTATTGTAGGAAACTGGCTTCAGTTCACCAGATGGTTGCTTTTACATAAGAACTGCGCTAAGTCCAAAACTGCTTGCATCTGAGGAAACAGTTGTTTCCTTTTCTGGGTCATACAGAGCGAGTACAGTCTCCGAAGCCATTTCTGTCTCCATGCGTTTGAAGGCTTCTTGTTGATCTGGGCCCAATACCCAAGCATTTTCCTTCTTAAGCAAGTCTCTTAGGGGCTTCGCTTTCTCCGCCAAATTCGGGCTAAATTTCATAAGATGATTGACTAATCCTAAGAATCGTCTTAGGTCTCCAATATCCTTAGGTTCTGTCATGTCCACAATGGCATTGACCTTTGAGGGATCTTTCCTCACCCCCTAACTGTCGAGTATCTGGCCTAAGAATTGCAGACTGCTTTGGGAAAATAAACACTTCTCGCGGTTGAGCGTAAGTCCTCTCTCTACCAGCCTGTCGAGAACTTTTCTGAGCCGCTCATCATGTTGGGCTTGGTCTTTTCCCATGATTAGAAAATCGTCCATACGACACTTCAACCCCTCTATTCCTGAAAGCTCTTGATCCATCCTCTTTTGGAAATATTCGGGGGCTGATGATATTCCGAAGGGCAGATGTTTAAACATGAATCTTCCGAAAGGCGTAAAAAAGTTAGTTAGCTTGGCACTCTCTGAGTTGAGGACTATTTGGTGAAAGCCTAAATTGGCATCAAGCTTGGAGAAAACTGATCCTTCTGTAAGGCTACGGAGTGTCTCTTAGACAGTAGGCATTTGATACATTTCACGACGAACTGCTTGGTTGAACCTTGTAAGGTCTACACATAGCCGAACATCCCCATTTGCCTTCGACACTACCACGACGGGTGAACACCAGTCGGTCGGCTCGTCTACCGGTTCTATGACGTCAAGTTGCAGCATGCGTTGTAGTTCAAGCTTTACTTTCTTCATGAGGGGTAATGGAACCCGCCTTGTAGTAGTCAGACAAAATGGTGTGACCCCATCCTTCAGACGAATAGTGTACTCACCTTCCAGTTTGCTTAGGCCCTGAAAGAGTATCGGGTACTGCTTCACAATGTTCTCCTTTACGTCCAGTCGAGGTGGAAAATCAGGAGACCGCGTATGCTCGACTGGATTGACTCTGTAGGTTCCTGGTATTTCATGAATAAGGCCAAAGCTGCGGATTGCGGGTATCCCGAGAAGCAGTTTGGATACCCCTTTGACAATGGATACTCCTTCCTGGATTCTGGTTTTGTACAAGGCAAAAGTCATAAGTACAAATCCAAGGGTCCTCAGAGGAACATCTCCTGCTCCAACAAGCTCTCTGTCTGCTTGTGATAATGGCCCATACGATTCCTTGTAAAGGGACTCCGGCATTACAGATACTTGAGCACCAGTGTCAATACACCATGTTAGCTCCTGGTCTTGAACCTCAAGCTTGACATACCAACCAGAGTCAGAGGTGGAGGTTTGATGAATACTGGCTGATTCTATGGTGGGTTAAAGAGGTAAGGAAGTTGAACTGGGCGTCGTAACTCCTCCAACAAATGTGGGGCAAATATCATCCTCAGTTTCTGAAACTTGACTAACTAAGTTAACAGGTGTACACCTGCATATTTCAGGAAAATGTCCAATTTTGTTGCACTTGATGCATCTCGTTGTTGCAGCTGGACAGTTCCTCCTACCTGGAGGTGCTTGCGGTTGCAGTATCCGAAATTTTTGCCGCGTGACTGGAAGGGTATCTTCTTAGAATCTTGCTTGTTTCCCTTATAAGCGCCGTTTCCGCCGTAAGGACCTATCTCTCGTTTTGTGATACTCTCGATATCGGCGGTTTTTGGCTCTTGCAACTCACGTTTCGTAGCTTCCTTCATTTGAATAGTCCTGTCCAGTGAAAGGGCTGCTCCTTCGTCGTAAAGTTTGAGCTTGTAGCTGTCTTCCTTGCAGGAAAAGGTAAGTTTGTCCCTTCGCTCCGACGAAGGGCTAACGCCCGAAACGTCAGCTTTTGTAATCATTACGGTGGCCAATTTACCATTTCAACTTTGTTGATATTACCAAATTACCTTGTTACCCCCACCGACGCAGCACCACAGTTTCTTTAGAAACGTACCCCCTTTATTCAATGGAAAATATAAGTCTTCCATCTTTTCGAGAAAATGCCTGATCAAACAACACGTCGTATCATTATGTAGAACATGAGAAAACGTTACATATATCATCAAAAACATTTTGTGGTGCATATACAAGTGCGATATTTACCTTTCTGGTGAGCTCTTTCATTGCTCACTGCGTGCCACTCTATTGAAGAGTTATAAGAATTTAACTGAAAAATTTTCCTAAGATGTTAATTCATACTTATTTTATTTGTTTTACTTAAGTTTCAAACAGGTGCCGAAGCCCCTAATGCGACTGAATTGCAGCAGAAAGACCTGACTTCCACAATTAGCATGAGAGTCAAATTTCCTCATAACTTAGCACACAACAGCTGGTTCTGGCACAAAACAGCAAACGTTCTTCGGTTTTTAGAGAATAATGACCTCTGAAATTGTGACGGGAAGATAAAAATCCCTCAGTGTTTAAAAAATACTGTGAAAGGAAACTTCACTCTGATCTGGAACATATATAAATTGAAAATAGTCCATATTCTTTGTACGTGATACTGACACAAACGCGACTCACAAGGAAGAAGCATGATATCCAAAACTTGTCAAATATGGGCGACTACGCTGCTTTTAATAACTTTGCTGAGTAAGTATCAATGCTCCTTTTAATACATGAATTTTTGTAAAGTAAGCACTACGAGCAGATTTCAAGACACGCTTCGAACTTACGTTTGTGGCCTTCCGAATGGCATGTGAAAAAAAGGGGAGCAGAGAATGATTGAGCCTAGAGAGTTTTTAGATTAGTTTGATTCGGCCCTTTCAAGTTAGCAAATATGACAATAATTTTAATGAAGAGTTCTTCGGGATTCCAGATTATCACCCATTACCGAGGTAGAAGCTTTGATCCCAATTAAACATAGGTTCCATCCTATTGATATGAAGCTCTTCCGCAGAGATTAGATGGTGATTATGCTCGATATCTCAATTTAAAGATAGAAGAAATCTGGATTAACTAAATAAATGGCTGACAAGAAGCTCTACTTTCACTTTGCAAATGAAAAAAATACCCAACTTACAAGTTAAGAAAAACCTCATCGAGCCTTCTTTCAGGTAGGAAATACGTATCATCTTTATTTCCCTTCCGATTTTTTTAAAATTGATTTATCAACATCTTCGTTTGGTTGAATAAACCATAGTACAGGAGTCCCCACTGTTATACAAAATCAATTTCGACAACTATGCTTCAAAAAGCACTAGATAGAATTCACTCCTATTGCAAGAGCCATAGCCACTCACATGTGCAAAGAGCCCTGAAAATGGTATTTGTTTCTGTGCATGATGGCAATGCGTAATGCGTCGTAACTGAACTATGACAATGATGCGTATGTGGGCCACCTGTTTAGAAAACAAAATTGATAGATCAATCAGTAACAGACAACAAACTATTATTAAAAAAAAACTGCGTTGGTGAAAGGGTAAAACGTACTGTTTAATGCTGAATAAAAAAGTTTTTCGTAAGCTGCACATTCGTTTTTATGGCAAAAATTGGTGAGGTCTTTTAGTTCAGTGATAGTAAAATACTCGTCGATATAAGACAGATGAATGATAACATGCACTTAAACTCGTGCGAGTTGCTGTCGTTGTACTTTCAATGAGTATTCGAAGCGTGTACGATGTATTCAATAGTTGTAAATTACAGTTAATTCACTCAGTAAAATTTCATGTCAATTATCTTCTTTTAATTATCATCATTCAGGTTTTGAGTTTGCCAATGATGTTTGCAACGAGAAGAAAGACCCGTGTACAATGGAATGTAATGATGAAGGCACTGGCTGCGTGCAGAATTGCAACGGTGGTAATTATACTTGTAGACTGAACTGTAACGTAGATGATTGTAATCAACAATGCGACTCTCAAATATGTATGCTAAATTGCAACAAGGGAGAATGTATACAGCATTGCAAAAGAGGAGTGCGAGTATGCCAAATGGAATGCGCTGGGTCTTTCTGTAGTCAAACGTGCAATGCTCAAACATGTCATTTAAAATGCAGTGGGGAAGAATGTAAGCAGCATTGCACCGGTGGAGAAGAAGGATGTATCATACAATGCATGGGGAGCTCTTGTACACAAATTTGCGACGCGCCTACATGTGAGATGACGAGAAGTGGGTCACACAATTATTTTACTCAGCAAATATGCAATTCTAGGAATGGTCGATGTTGCCAACGTATCTTGAATGAACGTATGAGACTCTTTAAAGCAGTCTGTCGGGGAAGAGAACAATGCACGTGCCCCAAATGTCAAAGATTAAATCGCGACTGCATGACTTTGCACAAATTGGATGTTATTACGGCTGTCTCGGTTTCGGCGGTTCGAGCTATCTCGACCCATATTTCAACAGTACAAGGTAAAGTAAAGAACCCCTCATTTGTTTTTTCCACGAATAAATATCTAAGGCTCGTGCATGACTTACTACCGTCTCAATTACCCTTACTCAAAATTAATTGCGTGTTATGAACATTAGCATATATACTCTGTGGTAAAACTTCATTTCAGTTGACATTCAGGTAAAAACCTACAATTATTTTAAAGTGCTACTGCGACGAAATTTTTGCATTTTATTTTCGCAATTTTCTGGTGTTAATTTCACATTTAGACCCTAAACTTTAAGAATAAGCGAAAGTTTCTCAAATTTGACAACGTTATTCCTTAAAAACAGCGCCACGAAGACATAAAAAATTCTTCCGCCATTGCTCGAATAACACACTGGAGAGCCCGCGAAAATAACTACAGCAGTTTTAGTTATGACGTCATTGACTCACTTCGACAACGTCGCGAAGGCATGCCTTTACAAAAAATACGCAAAAGAAAGCTGGGGGACAATTCTTTCGAACTTTATTCCTTCTTTACTGTGGAACAAGAAAAACAACTCTCTCTCGGCGTACCAAATTAGCCACGTTTGTTGAGTCGTTGACGTCACTTCCGTTCTCGACCCAGTTTCTTCTTCTTTGCGCGGAGTTCTGTAGTTCGAAGAATGGCGGCCGTTTAGATCGCGAATCTACAGGGAAAATAATATTACTTCTCGATGGAGTTTTGCCTTGAGATTTGGCAAATTTGTCACTTAGGGTAAGTACTTTCAACCTCTGAGGAGAAAAGAAAAGGTGCAGTTTTCGTCGCAGTAGCACTTTAAAGGATAAAACAAACTAATCACGCACATTAACCAGGAAAATCTAAAAACTTCTCCTGAAAGTTAAACCTGCTTCACATGGATGCCGTGTATTAATATTATATTGAAGAGTAATATGGTCTTAGTTTGGGAGATGTGTTTCCTCGATTTTATCTTAAAAGCAATTTGACAACTTCATTCTTTCATTTCTATCGACTAGCAATTACATAGCTAGACTTCGCAGGTAATAATTATTGTGTAACGGTTTCATTACGCAAAAAAAAAAAAAAAAAAAAAAAAAAACCAGAGCTCAAATAATTTCGGAGCCTAAATGTTCACGGTATCGTACATGATGATTAAGTCTATTCTAGTTAAAGAACCGTTAAAGTTCACCAGTATCTCCATCACAGAGAAGGTCATGATACGTGATGCACGGTTCTGCAGCTTTTGTAATTTTCAAGTGGGTTTCTTCGAATCAAATCCCCATACTATATTACAATAGTAGATACGAGGCCGAACTAACTAGTCGTAAAGAGTGAAAAATACCTCTCGAGGATCCAAATCTCCCATACGTCTAATGGCACTTAAGCCAAAGGCTATTTTTTCGAAATTTCTTTGACATGAAATAGGCCTTTTTACAGTTGCGTACTTAGTTGCCAAGCCTTTGATTTGGAGTGAGGCTAAAGGTGACCTTGTCGTGCTAGAGACCTGTATCTAGTTAGCATGATAACAAAGTGATTTACATTTAAAAAGCAGCAAGGTTTGTATCACAACAAGGTCACCCCTAGCCTCGCTCCCGTTCAAAGGCTTGGCAACCAAGCACAAAATTGTAAAATGGACTATTGCCAGCCTAGATTCTCATCATCATATGTAGCAAGAGATTTCGTAGTGGAGACTTCCTTAAGAGGAGTTTTGTTTATTTTTACTTCGAGAAGTTTGGATAAATAAGACAGTATTTGTCTGAACCGAATTATCGAAATTCTGTTTTTTTCAAATTCAGCTGAGGTTTATGGGCTGGATTGTTGCACTCGTTTTTTTTCGTAGAAGAAAATATTAAAGAAGTCAACAGTTCTAGTAGGATTGCGGCTTGATTTCTTCCTATTACACTCCGGTTCTTTAATTAGAGATGGGAGCATCAGCGCATAAGAGCTTTAGAGCTTTCCAACATGAACTTTAGTTTAATTTGACTATTTGGTTTTACTTCGACATACAGCCTCTTTGCAATCGTCGGCGCCTTTATCCCCGTTGCTACTCTCAACACCCATACCATCATCATCATCATCATCATCTTCACCATTCTCCTTGCAGCCGTTATTATTATCGTTACCGTCTTTGTCATCGTTATCATCGTCATCGTTATTATTTACATCACCCTTACCACCATCTTCGTCATCATCGTCATCAGTTTGGAAATCTACATCATCGCCTTTGGAAACAATTAAAAGTCTGGTAGGTATTATAATTTCTCAATTTCTTTTTATCCTTGTATTTGCCGTTTTCATTATCTTTCTCATGTGCCAATGTGATTGACTCTATTCACTTCAGGAAAATGAATTTACTTCCAAGCGTAATGGAATTAACGTGAGCAGAAACAGCTCCTTGCAGGTATCTGAATTTCTACATGATCCAATCACATCCCGGGGCAGTTTTCTGTGATAAAATTCTAATAAGTTAAACCGTGATTTAGAGCATGAATATATTATGTCTATATGCAAGTTTTTTTTAATAATAAAAAAGGAAAAAAGAAAAAAGTTGACGATTACACCAAAGAATGTCATTACCTCGCCCCAATAAACAACGAGGCAAGAAGCCCAAAGTAACCATGTCAACTGCTGGCCGTCAAACACTACTCATCAAACTTAATTACGGAACCACTAACCCCATTTCCAATTTCCAAATTACCTTTGGCCCCTTTTTCAAAGCGAGTCCTGGTACTCATCCTTTCAAATGATTATAAGTTTTGTCCACATGCAAATTAAAATCATTTTCGTACGAATCGTTAAGCGCCTAGAAAAACGGAAAAGTTAAAATCAGAAGCTCCCGTGTTTAAGACCTGTCTCCTTGATTGATTATTCTGATGGGTGTGCTTACTGTGTTGAGATATTATAAATTACAGGAGGTTATGGGTTTGTTTGAAGACTTTACCGATCAATATCAGAACATCATAAAGTCCCACGGTGGTCAACTTGGTATAGAAGAGCTAAAAATGGGAAAAGAATCCGTATTTAAGGTGGCGGTTGCCTTCGAGAAATTTGCTCTTGATTATAGTAAGTACCACCTCAATACTGCAGAACCTTCGAAAAAGATTACACGCCAGAAAATGGGTGAGTAAGACCTGACGTTTCTTTAGACTGTTGATAGTTTCTTCATTAGTTTCTGACCAACCGACCAACTGATTGAATAGTCTGCCTACTGCTTGGCTTAAAGTATCAGCTAACGTTTGTGAATTGCGAAAGGGCGTTAGTTACTACCCAGTATGCCGACTGGGCATATAGGGCATCACTAAAGGGTTCTCCACTCCTGCCTGTTCTAGGCCAGCTTGGTCATGTGATAACAAGGTAACTCCTCACCCGTTGCTGATTGGGCGCCATTCTTGCGCTCATGCACTTTTTGACGGGTGAACTAAAATAGAGCGATCTGTAGGCAATCATAACACAGCAATGTTTATGGACAAAATTCTACATCGAACGCTACCATATGTAACATATATGTGTAACTCAAAGATTCCAAACATTCACCAGCTGCTGTTCTCTGGGCTTCTCTCGACAGTTTTGGGCATTCAGAAAGGTTACCATCAGAATGCGACCGACTTCTTCCTTGACGGAAAGGAATGGCAAGCTAGCATCAATATTTCCTCTGAAAATTTTGCAGAGAATGGTTAGTTTCAACTTCAAACAATTAGTAAATCCCTCCGTTCCTTTGATCTGCCTTTTATAACATAAGCTCTTAAACTATGGTTGATTGACTTGTGTAACTGTTTTTAAGGGTCCCTACCAACATCTCTCCAGGTCGTGGGCTGTAACTCGACCACGCAGCCTTTTTATTTGCGGAAAAACTCAGACAACCGTGACCAGGCCAACCGCTTACAAACCAATCTCAATAAAATCATTAAAAAAAAAAAAAACAAAAAATCAAAACAAAACAAAAAAAATCGCACATGGTCATTATCCTCGCTGCATGTGGTTGGTCTCTCGTTCCCCTATTATTGCACTAATATTAGACAACTGTTGTAGAATGTAAGCCATTTATTAAGCCATTGGCAAACGTACAATTTCAATTTAGAAAAAACGGAGTTCAATTCTCAGAAAGTAAATGGTTTGAAAGAGGTCTTTCAGACTCTTGTTAATCAGCACTATTATCAGAAGAAACTCAAGCCTGCGTTTTACGTTAGCATGAAGTAAACTTGAGTAAAGTCTGTGTTTTTTAGATTTCTTGCGTTTCAAGAAGATGCATCCTTTTTTCGATATACCAAAAGAAAAATTAATCTGAAACTTTCCTTTGTCAAGAACGGTCCTGTTTTTGTCTCCACTAGAAGTGAAATTTTATGGCGACTGATTGGTTAACATAATTATATTGACAGCAGAAAAAAACTGATAAAGCCAGAGAAAGATATATACCTTTACCTAGATAGAGAATCTGCCAGTCTCGCCGTCTAAATGTGTGAAATACGAAAACCCTAAATGAAATTACTTTTCGCATGGAAACCTAGTAGATCAGCAACGAAATAGTGGTAGAGGCCCTTAACAAGACTTTATTTTTAGAATATGAATTACTTTCCTTAAGCTTTAAAAGGTTTTTGATTTTTTTTGTTCATTTATCAGGATCGGTGGCAATAGGGTGCCTATACAAGGATCTTCATGAATTACTACTAAACAATCGGCACGTCGGGGATAAAACTGAAACTTCAAGGTGATCCTTTCTAGCTCAGATAAGCTAAAACTGTTTCATGATTTATGTGTAATTTTCCCAAGACCTCTCAAGTGCATCCAAAACTCGCTACGTACATGATTAAATTCCGAGCGGTCATCAGAACAAAATGGTCTTTACAGGTATGTGAACACAAGAATTATTACTGCAGCTGTGGATCCCAAACATGAAAAATTACGACAGGATGTCATCTTGAAGTTCAGAAACCTGAAGGTAACAGTAAGAACACTGACTGTTCAATATAATTCAATCCGTTTTTCTTTAAATTCAAAAGAAGTACAATCCCTTTTTAGGTCGATGAAGGAGAGAAGCAATGCATGTTTTGGAGTGGCCTTGGCAAGAGGTAAAAACTTAGACATTATGCACACTACTTTTTTCCCTATAATAGTTACTTTTGAGTCCAAGCTTTTGAAAGGAGTCAATTTGAAAAGTTTCAGTTAAACGGTTATTCGAGGTGTGGGTAGCCCCCGGATTACACTTTTACAAACAATAATTGGTGTTTTCGATAACCAAAGGTGGAGTCTGAGAAATAAATTCTCAGGAACCGGAAAGAATCTTTCTTTTTCCCTTAAAGGGGTGTTGAAGGAATAAATCATAGGGACAGTTTCTCAAAAGGAAAGTAAGGAGAGGAAACAATAGCTGCTGTTAAAATTTCAAAAGGCTTTGTCTCACCTTCGACCTTTTTTCCGCTTAAATAGTGCATTTGTTTTGGAATATCATTTGGTTTTGGTCATTCTCTACAAAATTGCAGCTGTATGATACGTCAGCAAAGATCAGAACTGGATGCGGGCGGAATTTCAAAGAAGAGGATTTGACTTTTTCCAGTCAAAATCATTATTCTTATATGCAATATTTTAATATCAAAACATTAAAATGTCTTTTTTTTAGTCTCGACGGGTTCTCAGGTGATGGTTGTTATGTAGATCCTTCAAAGAGCAACTCAAAAGACACAGTTTGCAGATGCAATCATCTTACTCATTTTGCTGTCTTAGTTGACATCAGAGATGACCCAGAGGTAATCTTCTGTTTTTATTATGTTTTGAATGTACTTTACTTCCTATCAGTTATTGCGTTGGGTCAATAAATCTATTGTTCATTTTAACTTTTTGCCACAGCTCTCCACGAGGGACGTAAATGTTCTGGAGATCATCACATACATAGGATTGAGCCTTTCCATCACTGGATTTCTTTTGACGATAACTCTTTATTTTTTTCTCACGTAAGTATACTGTTTCGAAAAAATCAGCGATGCATGTTCTTGCATGATCTTGACAATATTAATTGAAACAGGCCAAGAAGAGCAAAAATAGATCAGGTCACTTTAGGCTGAGATTGCTCCCTGCTAATTGCATATCAAATGCGTTCAACATATGGTGAGCACAACCACTATAAGTCAATTATCAGATTTATCTGCCTTTAGTCCCTTGAAATAATTATGGAAAGATTTAACAACAAAATGTAACCATAAATAATGGACACTGATTCCTTCTCCCAACTCCTAGAAACTCTTATGCGTTTAGTTTTTGGTGTCTATCAGTTTCCTTATAACGCTTGAGTCATGCTCTCAACAAATTATGTTATTTGACTGGCTTTGCTCCTCATCTGCGTTTCGATTGGTTTCTCGGGCTTTCTCTCTTGCTTTGTTTTGCGTTTGTGTATGTCTGTATACATACACGAATAACTGCATATATATAT